GGAGGGCAGAGTCGGCCCAGCGGATGGACAGGCAGACGGCGGAGGAGGCGGAGAGGTAGGGGCTGTGGCACCGAGGGACGGACCAGGGCTGGCTGGCTCCGAGTGGGACTGAGAGTGACGGCGCCACGGACAGGTGCGAGCAGTTAGCTTGAGACAGTGGGGAGGCAGAGGCAGAAAGAAAGGAGAGAGAGAGAGAGAGAGAGAGAGAGAGAGAGCGCATTCGCGCGCTCCTTCCCCTGCAGACACCCTCCTCTGTCAGAGGGAGAGGCTGGGGGGCTCGGAGAGGGGCGCGCACAGAAGATGGCTAGAGGGACCCTGCATGGCTAGTGGGACCAAGAGACGAACAGACAGACCCACTCAGGCACGGACCGCCAGCGAGAGCGGCAGCTCTGAGAACTGAGCGCAGGAAAGCCAGAAACCCGCGCTGTGCTTCCCGGTGGAGCAACAGACAGACAGACGTGGGAAGGGACAGACTGGCAGACAGGAGGTGGGGGCACGTTCACGCCCAGCAGCCACTCCAACAGAGAAGGCGGCGCGCCCCCAGAGCGTGTCCGGAGCAGCAGCCAGCAGCGGGGGTGCGGGGTCGCCAGCTGGAACCACCAGCGTGACCATAGCGGTGGTCGCCACAGCCTTGCCAGGATCGCAGCTGCCAACGCTGTAAAAACCTCCTTTTACCAGCAGTTAAATAAATCGACCAAAAAAAAAAAAGCCAAGCCAAATCAAACAAATCCAGCCAAATCAATCATTGAAAAAACAAACATATTAATAAAAGCCAAAAACTTAATCAAGGCACCAAGACGCTGGGGGGATATCCACTGTGCGGTCAAGGTAATAACCAAGGTCTTCCACGTGAACATCGCATGCCTTTTGTGTGTGTTTTCTCTTCCTTCCGGCCATATGTCTGTGCTGTTCTTTATAATTGTTCGTAGTCTGTATTTCTCCTTCATGTTTGTGTTTGTAGAAAGCTGTTGTTACATATGTATTGTGTTGTGTTTGTCAAAGGAGGGGTTTAAACTCCCTCTCCCCCAAATGAGACAGAATTGGAAAGCTGGGAGAGGACTGAAAAGGGCAATTGTTTCATCAGAGAAGTCTACAGTGATTTATGCAGATTTCAAGGTAGAAAGTTTGCAAGGTTCTGATTGCATTCGAAAGAGCTATGCTCCGGGTACAAAGTTGTCATCTGTTTGTTGTACTCGCAGGACTCGGGCCCTGGCTCCCAAGAGGTGGAGGGGGAAACTAGATGTTTACTTTGTTTTTACATGTTTGAAGTCTGTGTTTCATGGCCAACGCCAAATTTGATGTCTTCTGTGGCAGGCTGTAGATTTAGTGATAGAATTGAATGGAATGAGACAGGTGTTTAGGAAGTTTCTTCGGACGAGAAATTGACTCAATGTTGATGCATAGACATAGAGCTGGAGAGGATGTGGTTGCTGTTAGCTTCTCAGGTTCAGTACTTGGTCACCTCCTGACCATACAGGATAAGGACAGAGTCCAAGCCTAAAAGGAAAAAAAAAACAAAACAAAGAGGGAACTGCAAGTTATAGCGACGGGGAGCTCGTAAGCACAGCGCAAGGCTGGTAGATAGTCACTTTCAGGAGACTGTGTTTAGGATGCAGATAGCCACTGGATTTGGTATTTTTTAAGTCTGTTGGCATGACACTTCAGCCTCTCTAAACAAGCCTAGCGTTCTCCAAAGTTGAAATGAATCTGTACAAGATTCTGCTCAAACACTGACAGAATCCCAAGGATTCCTGCCTCCTCCTCACCCACTTTGGAGATCAAAATCGCTAGGATTGTTTTAAGAAAGCGGAGACATGGAGATGACAGGACAATATCTTTTCATACGGTAAAAGTTAGGAGACCTTTGCCACACACTTTAAAACAAATGCACCTGCTCCTTTGATCCTCTGTGTCTGTGTCACCACAAGCCCTGCGTGTCTTCATAGGATCGTAGTCAGTGTCATTTTCACAAAAGGCAGTCGTTTGGAAGCCGAGAGCTCTAGCTATGTTTTGTTCAAATAGCCGAGTTAACCACTGTCTTGGCAATAACTGCTTCTGCTGCATTGCTAACGGGGATCGCGTGCACTCTTTTCGGGTTTATATGGATGTGTAAGGTACGTATCTGTGTTTGAACCTTTATTTCCTTTCGTATCATTTTTCCACTTCAACTCCCAGAATATTATACAATTTTCTTGAAGGGGTACACTTCCTTGTCACAAGAGCTACAAAAGGCTAACCTATGACTGTCCTTGCTTATCAATGTGATGAACTGCTTTAAAAGAGTTGGGTTTGATTGTTTTAAAATAATTTGTTTTTTAATTTTCAAGACTTTTTGACTGCTGTGCAGATATGTCTTAATTTACCCTGTCGGGACATGACTTAAATTATTTCATAAATCCTATGGAGTTGCTGTAGGTAAACGCCTGTCTAACAGAATACCTTGTTTAGGTGAGTCATTGTTAAAGAAACTTACACAGCTCCAGAAATTGACTTGCAGCTTCCCAGTGACTTAATCCCACTACACGCTGATGTCTTTGGCATTGCTCAGCTCAGACTGAGTAGGGTTTGTGTGTGCTATTAGATTTGCAAATTGCTGATCTCCCAGTGACTTTCCCTCCCAGATCCCAGCTGAGTAGAGTTACCCTGAGAACTATGGCATTAGCCCTGTCGGAGCATGCTCCGGTGGGGAGTTCTGTGCAGTCTATTTTTAATGCTATTTAATGAAGGAGCAAGCGCCTCACCCAGCAATAAGAGAAGCATGATGGAACAGAGCAGTGCGTGGTTATGGATACTGGAGACGGATCTCTGCAAAGGTACAGACTGGCTGCTGGATATGGTAATTGTAATCAGTTCTAATATATTGCACTAACAGAAATCAATTAGTTTTCGTGAATAGTTTGATATGTCTTCATAAACCTCTTCAGTGATTCTTAGAAAGAAGACTCAATGATTGGAGTGCCTTAAAACTTAAGGGAGATGCTAACCAGGGAGTTCCTGCTTGAATACTATTTTTAATACAAGCTGTCAGGTTCTTGGGTGGCGAGAAGTGCAGAAATAATAGCAGATTCCTATCATGTTGTTCTGGTGAAGGGTTTGGAGCTTGCAAAATATTTTGGGCATAAAGTAAATAACATCCTCCTAAGATATTATGATAACTTGAAGCTCTACCTTGTGAATTTTTTTTTCCATTTTCTTTTGTAAAGTTGGAGGCTAGGTTCAGAATTGTGTCAACGGAGTGAAGCAGGAAGTTTTGATTGAACTTGATAGAATGTTTGAGTTGTTCTCTCTCCTTACTTTGAAATAAGCACAATAGATTATCTTACTGAAGGTTAACTACTTTAAAAATGTAGATTGAAAAGATGGCACTGATCATTTTGGAGTGCAATAATGAGGGGGGAGTATCTTAATATTATCGTGCGTGAAACATAAGAAGCCATCTGTCTGCAGTGTTTGTATGTATGCAGAACACTTGTCTTCAGATAGAAAGTGAGAATGTTCACTCAGAAAGGTCTGTGTTGTTCATTTTCATATTAATGACATACTATGACCAGGTTATTTCTTTGTTCAGAGCAAAGCTAATGAGACAAATGCCTCGGTGGTTTTAAAACTTAATAAATATAAAAGAACGTGATGTTTTATTAAGTGAGAAAGTGAGCCACATTGTCATTAAACAAAGCTATTAGAGCGATGTACAACGTTGTTCTGGATTTGGCCAATTTTTATGAAAAACAAGAAAGCAAAATCCCTAAGGGAAATACATCGCGAGGAGTTAAGTGTAATGTGTTGTTGTTATTGTTTGCGTTTTGCACTCTGGACTTCCAGATATTTTTTTGCACTCTGTACCCTCGCTCTGATATTTTCCTTAGTGACCATGCTGTTCGGACCACAGTGCCGCTATCTTTCTTAAGATTCTCAAGTCAGTGGGCATTCTCATCTGAATTCAATGTGTATTTTGTCTGTGAACGAGATAATGATAAGCTACATGAGCAGAGTGTGGAATGAGTCAGCCACTGAAGACACAATACCCAAGGTAGCCAGAAGTGAATATGATGGAGAAACCTCATTCGTATGGGGAGGCAGTTGGAAGTTCAAAAGGTTGGAAATTGCAAATGAGCCATTTGTGTAAGTTAGTTTAATTCAGATCTGCTTTCTGACAAGGTTGGTTAGGCAAGAATATGGGGCTGAAAAGTGATGTCGACACTGAAAGCTATTGCTTCCCATGGTAAGTACTGGCCCGTTCTCACCGGTACCACAAGGTGGTAGCGTGTTTAGACATTTGTGAATCTCTAATCAGAAAAAATAACCGGCTTCCTTCAAAATGCATGATGTCGCCTGGAAAGTTCTGAACATATTTCAAGTCAGTGATGACGAACTTCTAACCTATACCCTTCCTCTCTTTAGACAAAGGGTTTCATTTTTTTAGGAAATCTGTGGTTCCAGAGTTCTCTTCATTTCTGCTGATTTTGCTTTCTTTTATTTTTCATTCTAACATTTAAAGTTAAGTATGATAGATGATTTCCAGCCGTGACCTAAGTGAATGCTGAAGGACTTTTGAAGGTAGAAAAGTATACTAGTGAGATGTATCTGTGACTAGATTTGTTTTTCTTAGGCTATCTTGGCTTCTAAGTGTTAGTTTCCTTTAAGGAGTATTTATGGCAAGTTCTAATAAATTGATATTTTTCAGTGACTCGGAGTCTTATAATTTAAATTGATTTTGCTCATTTTGGATTAAACTGACCCTGGATGTTCAAAGTATTTACCACTTGAATTTACATCACAACCATTTCATTTATGTGGGGATTAGATATGGACTGAGATATAAAGTATTAAATTGTATACATTAATATCATATGCTTGATAAAGAATAATGTGCTTTTTATTGTTTGGCAACATTGTTATCTGTGGTCTCAAAATCTTCTGGTGATATTTTATTAAGGCATAAAACGTCCATATCGCATTTTGAATGGACCTCTTTCTAAAATTACTGGGGCATATCTGTGCCCTGGGAAATAGCTATGCAGGTAAACCAAAAAGTGAGTTGAATATTTATTTGGAGCAATCGAAAGGAAATTGGAAAACAAAAGGTTTGACTAGAATACACCAAATTGACTCTCTACCTGGAAATTGAATTCTTGGCTTTATGTCACGCTCTCCTGTTCTAGCTGCCAGCACAGATCTTAATATTGCCAGAAAAAATGAATGTTAATCACTGTCCATGGCCACAGAAAAAGCAGTGTTTTAAATTCCTCTCCATATTCCCCCAAGGAAGTTTCTTCCTGCAGTTTGTCATAAGCTCCGCTCAATATGCATGACAATGCCACAGGTTACATAAGATTTTTTGTAAGTTCAATAATCAGGTGATATCTATTAGCATAAAATTACAATTGCGACTTCCTAAAATGCCAAAGATTGCGTCCAAAGTTGTCTCATTCAAGGTACACTCTCATAATTATTTTTCAGTCATAAATTTATACATTTTTAAAAGGAATTTACAATCATTCATTTTAACTAGCAACAGAAAATCATTGAATTTTCTCCAGGTAAAGGGGACAGGAGGATCTACTAATAAATGTCCCTTTGAAAATCAAGCCTCCTATCACAGTCTCACATTTCAAACTACTTCAAAATTATACAGCAGTTCTTACATTAGAAATTCGTTGTGATTAACACAGAGACTATTAAGATTTTGTTAACATCACTTCCCTAAATAATAGCATTGGTTTTAGGATAAATAAAATATGGTTTTAATTGAAAGGAAGGATTGAAGATTTTTAACAGAAAAACAATTACGTCACTTCTTATTTCACATCTTTTGGCAAATTTGGTAG